GTTTAAGGTTGCCGACCCCTGGTAGAGAGTCTCCCAGGAAAGGGGAGACCCCAAGATCCCTTCCAGCTCTATTCTGATTGACTGATTGATTAATGGAGAGGGTCTGAGCAGGAGAGGTGGCATTGATAGCAGTGGGGCAGTCAGCGTGGACATCCGACAGATTCAAGCCTCCTGACTGGTGGTTTACACTGCACCCAGACGGGCAGCTGCAAAGTCCTGCAAAGTCCACCCTCTCCCGGCACCCCAAGGCAGAGCAGGGAAGGGACATCGGCCTACCTGGCAATATATTTCTGGTAAATATTTACATCTTCGGTGACAGCTGGTTTGTCAGTGGTTAATCCATTCCTAATGAGAAGCACACACACAGGGCAGAGATGGTTAGCACCAGGCGGTATCAGGAGATGCATCAAGCCCCCACCCCACCCCACCCCTGCTCCCCCCAGTCCTCCCCCCACCCAAAGACTGCATCCATAGGACAGAGAGATGGCCCAGAGGGGCGCATGGGTTTCCTCATCTCTGGCTCGCTAAAGAGCATCTCACCCAAGTCCACCCACAAGAACGTCGGTGGCACAGTGATCAGTGCAGTACTGCAGGCTACTTCTGCTGACTGCCGGCTGCCTGCAATTTGGCAGTTTGAATCCCACCAGGCTCAAGGATGACTCAGCCTTCCATCCTTCCGAGGTGGGTAAAATGAGGACCCAGATTGTTGGGGGGCAAGAGGCTGACTCTGTAAACCGCTTAGAGAGGGCTGGGAAGCACCATAAAGTGGTATATAAGTGCTATTGCTATTTTCCTTCTTTCCTTTTTATCCTTCCTTCCTTCCTTCCTTCCTTCCTTCCCAGTGGTTAGAATGTAATATTACAGGCCAACTCTGCCTACTGCCAGCAGTTCGATCATGACTGACTGGTTCAAGGTTGACTCAGCCTTCCATCCTTCCAAGGTGGGTAAAATGAGGACCCAGATTGTTAGGGGCAATCTGTAAACTGCTTAGGGAGGGCTGTAAAAGCACTATAAAGCGGTATGTAAGTCTAAAGTGCTATTGCTTATTCTCCAAAGGATGGTTGCCAATGGTTTATTGAAGGCTTGATGAAGGCAATCACTTGGCCCATGCTTATAAAACTATACTTTACCCTGCATGTGACCAAAGAAAATTTGCACTTGAGGAGCCCCAAAATCCTAGTTGGAGTTCTCCAGGCAGGCAGAAGGACATTTCCCAAGATCTTTGATGCTTTTCTGAAGCTGGAGATGCTGTCCATTCTCAATGCCAAACTGAGCTTCTTCCATGGCCCGTTTGCAAGGATTTCTCCACTTGACATGGACTTAGTTCACACAAGACTGTAGCCTCTTCCTTTGCCTAATCGTCTCTCTTTTTCAACCTGATACCTGCTTTGGAGGCTGGGCGCAAGGCAAACAACTGAAGGAAAGATCTCACACCGAACGCCCCTTAAAGTCCGGGATTCTTGGCTTAGTCTTTTCAAGGATTCTTACGGTAGGCAGGTAAGCCACACCGAGGCTCCCCATAAAAATCACCGTTGATGTCTTTCACTTTTACCCCCAAGCCCACCCTCACCCTGCCAAAGTTTTACCTGAACTCTGAGTGTGTGAGAAAGAGAGGGGAGGAGAAGAGAGGAGGGGAAGGGAGGGAAGGAGAGGAGAGGAGAGGAGAGAAGAGAGAGGAGGAGGAGAGAGGAGAGGAGAAGAGAAGAGAAGAGAGAGGATGGGAATGAGAGGAGAGGAGAGAGAGAAGGAGGAGAGGAGGGAAGGGAGAGGAGAGAAGAGAGGAGAGGAGGAAAGAAGAGAGAGGACAGGAGAGGAGGAAGAGGCGGAGAAGAGAGGAGAGGAGTGGGGGCAGGTAGAAGAGGAGAGAAGAGAGAGAGAGGAGAGGAGAGAAGGGAGAGGAGGGTAGGGGAGGAGAGGAGAGAGAGCAGGAGCGAAGAGAGAGGGGAGAGGAGAGGAGAGGAGAGAGAGGAGAAGAGAGAAGAGAGAGGGGAGAGGAGGGGAGGAGAGGACAGAAGAGAGAGGAGAGGAGAGGAGAACTTGGACCAAATGATAAAGAGACTCCTGGAACCAAGCCTTTCCAGAGATTGACGGCTCACATCTGGCTGCCCTTGACATGCTCTTGTCTGAGACGGGTGATTTAAAAGGGGGGGTCCGGGGGTGCCATTCACAGCTGGTTTTGCAATGAAGCGACTCTCTCCCTGGCCTGGATGAAAGCCAAGCCCAACGCCAGCCCGCCAAGGAATCGGTGGCCGAGAAACTGAAAGGGCCAGGCGAGGGAGGCCGGCACCTGGCTTCTCGCTCGGGCGTTTCCTTCGACTTCGCTTAAGCTTCGGGTTTTTGTTTTTTTCCATATTATTGGGGGTTTGTTTTTTATTTCCCTTCCGCCACCGGCTCCCCCTCGGCCTCCCCACCCCCTCGCTATGCTGGAAATAGGGGATATGCGAGAAACAAAATAAACCATGCGGCAGAACCGTTGTCGTTGTGAAGGACCGGGTGTGGGGTAAGCAGGTTTTGGATTCCCTGGGATCTCTTTGATCACCGGAAACCATGATCCAGCCACTGCACCCCAGGGCAAAACAGGGTCTCGGGGTGGGAGTGGGGAATCGATCCCAGAGTACAGGTCATCCTTGACTTACGACCGCAGCTGAGCCCAAAACTCCTGCGGCTGAAGGGAGACGGTTTGCTAAGTGAGCGCTGCCCCCATTTTATGACCTCCCTTGCCACGGTTGCTCGGCAAATCGCTGCGGTGGATAAGCGAGCGACCCTGGTTGTTAAATGAATCTGGCTTCCCTACGGATTTTGCTTGTCGGAAGGTCGCCAAAGGGGAACCCATCACCCCCGGGACGCGGCGACCGTCATAAATAGGAGACAGTTGCCAAGCGCCTGGATTTCGATCACGCAGATCCTGGGGTTGCTACCAAGGTCGTAACTCTGAAAAAACAGTCGTAAAGTCACATTTTTCGGTGCCATTGGATGGACCCGGACAGTCACTTGTCTGAGATGTGTATAGGTTCTCCTGCTTGAGCAGGGGGGTGGACTAGAAGATCTCCGAGGTCCCTCCCAGCTCTATTCTGATCCTGAATGGTCACTAAACAAAACTGTTGCAAGCTGAGGATTAGCTGTATATCCCTGAGCCCGACTGCAACTCCCATTTGTAGGAGAATTTCCTCCCCCCCTCCCAAAAAAATAAGAAAGCCTTCCTGATCTACCTCAGACCATCCAACCTGGTGTAAGATCCTCAGAAGATCTGGGCTGGATCAGGCCCAAAGGTTCAAGTTTTGCTACTCGCTATAGCCAAAGAGAAACCCGTGAATTACCCTTTTGTCTCTGTCGTCTCCAATGGTGGCTTTCTACCAGTTTCCCTACCGGTTTGAGGATTGCGCACTTCGCATGTGCATGCGTGCACCTAATGCGTGCGCGTGCAGCTTTCCAAACACCGGCGGAGGCTCTGCCGCGCCAATTGGCTGAGAGGATAAAGAAGAGAGGGCTGATCCCGCGCTTTTCTCTTCTTTCTCTCAACTGATCGTTGGAGCTTTTTTTTTTTTTTTAACAACCGGATTGGTTGAACCGGTGTGAACCGGTAGCATTTCACCACTTGTCCTCTCGCCCCGTTCTTATTCCTCGGCTGCTAATGTAGGTAAGTCCTTGGCTTAATGGCCAAAACGGAGCCCAACCTTTCTGTTGCGGAGCGAGACAAGTTGTTCAGTGAGTTTGGTCCCACTTTATGACCTTTCTTGGCACATTGTGAAGGGAAGTGCTGCACTTCTTAGGTTGGTAACACGGATGTTGAGCGCATCAGGCTTCCCCCGCTGAGTTTGCTTGCCAGAAGGTCGGAAAAGGTGATTGCGTGACACCCCCCCCCGGGACGCTGCAACCGTCGTAAATAGGAGTCGAATGCCAAATGTCTAAATTCTGATCACGTGATTACAGAGATGCTGCAACAGTCGTTAACTGTGGAAAAGCTCATAAATCTCTTTTCTTAGTGTCGTCGTAATTTTGAACAAAATGTTGTAAGTCAAGGGCTACCTTCAGCCACCGGAATACAAGCAGTAGTCCTCGACTTATGACCACAGTTGAGCTCAAAATTTCTGTCCATGGCTGACTCACATTTAAGACGGTTGTAGTGTCCTGAGGGTCATGTGATCCCCTTTTACGACCTTCTGACAAGCAAAATCAACGGGGAAAGGCAGTTTCACGGCGTTACTAACTTTTCCACTGCAGTGATTCCCTTAACAATAGTGGCAAAACTCGCTTAACAAATGTCTCACTTAAAAACGGGAATTTGGGGGGCTCAGCTGTGGCCATTAAGTCCAGGACCACCTGCCTTAAGTGTCACATCGTATTTGATCCCAGAGCTTTGCTGGCTGGGGAATTCTGGGAGTTGAAGTCTGTCAGGCTGGCTGGGGAATTCTGGGAGTTGAAGTCCACCAGACTGGCTGGGGAATTCTGGGAGTTGAAGTCTGTCAGGCTGGCTGGGGAATTCTGGGAGTTGAAGTCTGTCAGGCTGGCTGGGGAATTCTGGGAGTTGAAGTCCACCAAGCTTCCTCATCCATGAAGTTACTTGATCTACCTTTCAACCTCTTCTACTCCTGCCGCCTCCCCCATCACCCTTCTGAGGACCCCGAAGGCTTTCCTAGAGCACATCTGAAGGGTCTCAACCCCAGCTGCGGACCCTGCAGATGCGCAGGACCGCAACCACCCAGCCCACGTGGTCTTTCTCAGCTCTGCACCCGCAGAGAAGGCTGCACACGTTGGAGCCTGGCAGCCTTGCCCTTCCCCGCGTACGGCGATGGACTTACTTCACGGTGGAAACTGTTCCAGTGGTGATGGAATCTGTCTTGGAGAAAGTGGATTTAAGGTACTCTGGAGTGCTGAAGGGCAGAGAGACAGGTTGTTCCGGGCCAGCTACCGGGGTGCTGCTGGGAGTGCTGGCAAGAGGGTTGGGACCCAGGCTAGGGGCTGGCGCTTTCACCGGGGTAATCTTCTGGACGTTCCGGACATCGTATTTCGACGGGCGACCCACTTTGCCCGTCTTGAAGGCGATGGCTCCTCCCATGTCCGGGCTGCCTTCTCCGGGCTTGAAGAGATGCAAATATTTGACGTTCTCCAAGTCGTACTTGGACGTCTTCTTGTAGGTGTTGCCATTCTGCGGCCGGAGCGTCTCCCCGGTCTTGAGTTTCTGGATGAAGAAATCGTACTTGGAAGCCCGCGACATCAGCCCTTGCATGGGGGAGCCACTGGACGAAGGCAGCGGCAGGATGGTGGCCTTCGTCTCGGGCAGGAGCGACGGTTCGGGGGCCGGCAACCGGATGGGTGGCCCCAAACTCAGGGGCCCCTCTTTGTTGAGTTTGCTGCTCAGCTCCTCGGCCTTGGCGGGATGAATGGGCCACGGCACCTGCTCCCCGGCCTTCAACTTGCGGATGTACTCTTCGTACTTGGAAAAACGGGCTCGCTTGCTCATGGCATCCTCGCCGGCGACGGCGGCTGGGTTGGTCTCTGAGGTAGGAGCATTCAGTTTCTCAAAGCTAATCTTCCGTGCCAGCTCATCCCGCATGTTCTGGTCATCGTAGCCGAACATGCCCAGGAACTCGGTCATGGTGGTAGCCGCATAGTCTCGCAATGAAGACGCCTCCCCTGGAGTAAGCGACAGAAAGACAGAAAACGCGTCACTGGATGGGGCATCTTTAGTGTCCTATGCCTTGCCTTCCACGTCGCCAGCTGCAGCTGAGCAAGTGGTGGTGGGGGGATTTTTTGCAGGAGGGCGGGGAAGAGAAGGAGCTAACACGACCGGCTGACTTGTTCGGTTTTATGACACTTAAATTAATTTGTTTTTTTTTTTAAATTAAAAAAAAAAAGTAATTAATGCTGGGGTAAAATAAAAAAGGGTTCATCAATGCCAGGAAAATCAATTTCCTAAATGTTCTAGCCGATGGCTTCTCAGTACATTAAACCAAGTTTCATAAATGTCTCCGCTCTCCCGCCTTGGCCTAAGATGAAGATCGCAGTCATTTTCCTAGAAGGGAGGTCGGTGCCCATACGCCAAAGGCACCAGAAGTTACCCTGCCTGTGTGTGTGGTGGTGGGGGGAGGCTGGCAGTGAAGAGATCCCCTTCCCACCCACCCCCACACAAAAAATGTGGTGAGGGAAGCAAAGGTGGAGAAGAAGGGTAAAAGGAACCCCAGGAAAAATATATATGAAACCTTGTAAAAATTATATAGTAGAATAGAATAGAATAGAATAGAATAGAATAGAATAGAATAGAATAGAATAGAATAGAATAGAATAGAATAGAATAGAATAGAATCCTTTATTGGCCAAGTGTGATTGGGCACACAAGGAATTTGTGTTTGGTGCAAATGCTCTCAGTGTACATAGAAATAGAAATAGAAATAGAAATAGACATAGACATAGACATAGACATAGACTAGACTAGACTAGACTAGACTAGACTAGACTAGAATAGAATAGAATAGGAATGCAGAATAGAATGCAGAATAGAATAGAATAGAATTCTTTTATTGGCCAAGTGTCATGGGACACACAAGGAATTTGTCTTTGGTGCAAATGCTCTCAGTGTACATAAAAAGAAAAGATACATTTGTCAAGAATCATCAGGTACAACACTTAATAGTAGTCATAGGGTACAATAAGCAATCAAATCCTACTAGGAATAGTGGGCAAAGTAGCTGGAAAGACATTTTGATTGAGAGCGTGAAGGAGCGTGTGTGAAAAAGCGTGTTTATGCAAACACATATTCTTCATTCCATTCACAATTAAGTTGTTTAATTTGTTGTCCCAGGTGCATTCTGAATTTGGGTTGGTCTACCCACGGTTATTAATGGAGTTGTCGAAATGGAACATTTGGAAGATGACAACAACCTCCTGTCAGCTTGGAAATAACAAGGAGATTTCCCTTAAAAAATATATATCCCAAGCTTTTTAGGGAAATTCTCAGAGGCATCAGACTGGGCCCAATGGGGAGGGGTGCCTTACTGCGCTTCTCCAGCCATGTGCGATGCAGAGCTTTAAACAAGTTGTGGTGTATAACATTCTCTGGGTGACAACATTCTCTTCTTCACTGGCTGCCAACCGACTTGGGGCGTCTTATCTATCCCCAGATAACCTTTTTTTGATAAATTTTTGATCATTTTTAAAATACGGGGGTTTTTTTGGACGATTTTTTATTTTTAAGATAATTTTTTGGATACGCAACGGATGGAAACTCTAGGAAAGAAGCAACCTAGAACTAAGGAGGAATTTCCTGACGGTGAGAACAATTACAGCTTTGCCTCTAGAAGCTGTGCGTGCTCCATCACTGGAGGTTTTTAAGAAGAAACTAGACAGACACCTATCTGAAATGCTATAAGGTCTCCAGTTTGAGCTGTGGGCTGGACTAGAAGACCTCCAAGGTCCCTTCCAGTTCTAATATGATTCATTAATACCGCCCACTAAGTTCCTGTCCTGTGCTGGGCACTGTCGACCAAGTCAAGGTCCCCTAACGTTGGGAGAGTGTCGAAGATAAATTCAATCGAATTTATCGTCCACATAAATTCAGTTGAACTTATCATCAGCATCCTCCCAACATTAGGGGACCTTCCCTTGGTCGACGCTACCCAGAAGTCGGTTGTCAGAACCAGCTCCCGAAAGGCTGGCAGGCAGGCTAATATGGATACAGCTGGAAAGGCCTCAGTGCCAGAATAATTCTGATTATTCCCATTTTGCACTTGAAAGAAGAGTAAGTGGAGGCAGGTTGAGTGCAGAGAAGGGATGCCAATCTCCCCAAGGCCATCTCCCACCCTCTACCTGCGACTCTACAGCCGGTCTCGCGGATACTTCGGAAAAGGCATGGTTCCACAGATAAAAGGGACGCTCCGGTAATCAGCCAAGCAGCTGATGGACTGGCTTCTCCCTATTCAAGAGAGCAATATCCCTCTGATTGCCAGGCTCTGGGGAACAGTCAAATGACACCGAGGGACCGTCTCAATTACATCCAGCTTGTGGGCAGTTGGAGAAGATGCAGCTGAGCACTTTGCAGGAGGCAAAGCAATGAACCAGGCAGGCCTTTGTTCGGATCCTACGGAGAACGTTTTCGCGAGAGCCTTATCGCGTGGTGACGTTACCCGGGGATCGAAGCAAAAGCAGCAAGGAAAAGCATTTCTGGCTGTGGCAGTAAAGGGCAGGGGTGTCAAACTCAAGGCCCATGGCCCGCGGGGTGCTTAGATCTGGCCCGCGAGGCTGCCCTGGAAACGGTGAAGGACTGGCCTGCAGTGCCTCTGCCAGTGAAAATGGAGCTCGGGAGCCTGATTTCGCTGGCAGAGGGTTGCAGGAGGCTGTCGCAGCTGGAAACGGAGCTCAGGAGCCCGTTTTCACTGGCAGAGGGTTGCAGGAAGCCGTCGCAGCTGGAAACAGAGCTTGGGAGCCCGCTTCGCTGGCAGAGGGTTGCAGGAGGCCGTTGCAGCTGGAAACGGAGCTCAGGAGCCCAATTTTGCTGGCAGAGGGTTGCAGGAAATGGAGCTCGGGAGCCCATTTTTGCTGGCAGAGGGTTGCAGGTGGCTGTGGCAGCCAGAAATGGAGCTTGGGCACCCATTTTCGCTGGCAGAACACTTGGGCCACCACAGGTGCCCCCGACACGAATGCCATCGAGCTGGCTATGCCCTGAGGTCAAATACAACCCTGATGCGGCCCTCAATGAAATCGAGTTTGACACTCCTGGGATAAGGTGTCTGAAGTCTACAGCAGGGGTCCCCAACTCCCAGCACCGGGCCTTGGCATGCCAGCAACCAGGCCGTGCCACCAAGCAAAGCCCCACGCCTGGGTTGCAGGCAGCATGGAAAACCACACCCCCTCCAGTCCACATTAAAAAAATATTTCTCTCCATGGTGCCCCAAAGGTTGGGGGTTCTGGAGGGCAAAGGAGATCGCCCAGGCTTTCTTTCCAAAGTGATGCCCCAAATGTCAACTCATAAAATATTTCTATGGTCTTTTTAGAGTTGCCATCAGAAAGGGAAGGGGGAAAGGGGTTTGAAAGAGCAGTGCAGCAGCTTGGAAGTTGAAAGCGCATTCCATAAATAGTTTTTCAAAGATAGTAACTAGGTGACCAAAGTTTCTGCCGAGCAAAACTTCTAACTGGAGAGCATGATTGATGATTCTTGGCTACAGATGTGTCCCATTGGAGAATATGAATTAGGATACACCCAGGGGGTGGAGGAAAACCAGGGTCAAGGGTGACAATGAACGATGTGTGCCTCAGAGTCGGCCACACCCAGGCAGTGCCGCATCTTTTAACTCCCAATAAGTCCTTTTGGAGTTTGGCTAGAGACTCATGATTTAATTGGGGGGGAACTGCCAGAATCTTTAGAAAGTCCCAGTCGTTGAAAGGCCGGCTGGCTGAGAATGATGGAAACCAAAGTCCAAATTCAATTAGAAAGGGCTGTTGGGGGGTTGAGAAGGCTGGGATGTGTACTCTGCGCAGCTTCCTAGGATGGAAGTGGCTTCGGCTGCCTCTTTCTCGGTTTATTTATGTCACCCAATTTACGTGCCGCCTTCTTGAGTGGCTCATGACCCTAAGATCACAAACACGGCCCACATTATGAAAACAGGCGCATGGTTCCAATGTAAACCTTCGGCTACGTTTTAAGAGAGCAAACAGGAGATGCTACGTTAACAGCCACACTGCTGCGAGGAAATCAAAGGAGAGAATGAGAGAGGAGGAAGGAGGAGGAAGGAGATGGTTCATCCTGCCTTCTGGACCACAAATTGGTCCCGGGAGGCACAGCTGTTGGTCACTGGGAAGGAGAAATGTAGAGTGGCTTTTATCTATCAGTGCTGGACCAGCACGGCTTTCCTTCCAAAATCCTGCATGGTGAGGACGACTTCAGGAGCCGTCTCAGATCTGTCTGGCTCAGGAGAAGGCAGCTTTTCCCGAAGACCTATGGAAGGGGGCTGAGGCTCGGTGGTTTAAAAAAACCCCGGCCGGCAAAGGGGAGCTGGTTCAAATACCTGCCCCGATCTCTACTACGTTTGGCTGGGAGAAAAGGACTTCAAGCTTGAATGCTTGGCGAAGCCTTTGGGCTGAGATCAAGGGCAGCAGCGCTGCTGCCAAAGCATATTGCAGCCCATGTTTTTTGCATGTCCCGCTGGAGCTTCCAGAAAAGAAAAAGAAAAAAAAAGCGGGGGGGGGGGG